TATGCAAGTGAAAAAAATATTTAGTTTGAATCATATTTCAACTAACATGCTATGAAATGTATTCAATAATTACCATCTTAATCTTCAAAGCAGATCAAATTTCTTTCTGTGCACTTCGCGAAAGACGCTAACACACAGTCGCATGCATACATGCATACGTATTTATTTAAGGAATTTTCCTACACCCAAGACAACAATAACAATGCAACAGCAACGACTGACGCAATGGCACGTTTATGCCACACGTGACCTGCTTTAGCTTCAGTTTCAGCCGGCTTTAGCTTTCGGCCAGGGTCGACGTCAGTGGCTGCCTTTACAGTCGCACACTATTTTTACAAGTGTCTACGGTTAAGTGCTCACACATACGCACACGCAAACGCAAACGCACACACACACACTCACACAAGCGGCCATCCAGGACCTGCAGAAATTACCATGCTCAGGACTCGTTGTCGCTGGCATCCCTGCGGTTGTAGCGTGAAACGAGAAGAAAAACTTTGGCGCTCTCTTAAACAACAACGACGTGCACACACTCACACACACCACACAGCCAACAAAAATAATAAGAAGAAGAAGATGTATAAGCCAAAGCGCAGCAGAAGAAGCGTTGCCGCGAAAGTGGAACGTGGAAAAAGGCAAGCAGTCCAAGTCAAGTCAAGCCAAGAAGTCCAACACTGAGAGAATAGGCATAGTAAATTAAATAATATAATGAAGTGGGTAATCTTAACAAAATAATAACAAGGTTAAAAAAATAAAACAGATTAAATTTTAAGGAATAATTTAACTCGTTTGATTTATCGGTTAATATTCTTTTCAAAGACAGTTAAACAGGTGAGAATGGAAGTGAGAAAATGCCTACTATAGTGTTAAGTTACATAAGTTGAGTTTAGTTCAAACACTATTTTTCTTAAAGTGTAGTTGCTGCCGTAGCCATGGATTTCATTATGCGCATTTTCTACAACTTTTTGGAGCAAGGCGCGTTAGCATTGCATACTTTTAGGCGCTGACGCCGCGGCTCCTGCTCCTTTGGCTCCTTGTGCCCCTCCTGCCACGCGGTGTTTTGTGTCGAGCTTTTGCGCAGACACTGAAATGCAATTTGCATAAGTTTCACAGCTTCTTTCGTTTATATAGGGCGAGCGGGATGGGCCGGCGACTCTTCTATATAAATATAAATACTATGTGCATAACCCAAGTGCGCCCAACGACGTGCCGCAGTCGTTGTGTGTGTGTGTGTGTGTGTGTGTATGGGTGTGTGCCATCTATCCACTCTGTGCAACTGTGTGTCGCCTCGGTGCGTGCTAAGTATGTGTTGCCTAGCTGTTGGCAATTTTCATAACAAAAAATATAAAAAGGACAAACGGGAGATGGGAGATGGGCGATGGCATAAGGGGGCATGCAGCAAAATGAAATTTGTGTTTGTTTTCTACTTTAGCCAGCATAAAAAGTGAAATGACACTGGGTAACGCAGGAAAAACGTTACCGTTCCATATAGGAACCAGCGGAAATCAGCAGGAAATTCCCATTCCCTTGTTAGGATGTTTGCTTTGGTGTTTCCTTGTGGCTGTGTGTGTGTGTGAGTGAAATGTCGTTAATATAGGTAAAGGTTACACGCCTGAATGTCAATTTTTATTGGCAGCACACAAAGGACTCGAACTGCAAAACAACCAGAAAGAATCGTACAATTCAAACGAAATACATAGGTGATATTTGAAAACTTTAAACCTAAAATAGAAATGTATCTTAGAAGTTGAAAAAGTTGATGTTCGTTCAATGCACATCCAAATATGTCACATGTTTAAGAGTGTTATAAGACGAAACGTCTTAAAGATATATAATTTACAAGTGCTACTTAAATTTTTAAATAAGTTTATCAAGTCTTTGTAGCCTAAGCCTTATTTTGTTCAAATGACAAGCAAAGCAAGATATTCCAACATAACCTTAAAAGCAAGAACGGATTATAAATTTTCCACCTTTTAAAATAAATCCCCCTAAATAGTTTCGCCTTCAATTTGCACTAATAATCCCAAATCGACCTATTTTTCCGGTGACCTGTATTTACCCCGTGGCACACACGCGCTTCTGATTCGAGTGACATTTGTCTCTCCGAACTGAACTGTTGCCGCTTGTGGCGACCCAAACCGGTGACCTCAGAAGCTGCTTGCCACCTAAGCCGCAGCACGCGCCACTTTGTCCAAAATCCAGGCAGTTGGTTTTGGCTGCCTGATTCCGTGGTCTGTGGATTGAATGAAGGAGGAGCTCCCCAGCCCCCAGCCCCCATCCCCCATCCACTCGATTCCGATTCCCATGTGAGCCCCACGGGCAAATCACTCATTACACACTTACGCTTGCGCGACGCTGACGCTGACGAGCGGCAGGATGATGGAGCGATGGAAAGAGCTCCGAAGGAGCTGGAAAAAGGACACGCTGACGAGATGGCGGAGGCGGAGCGGCGACGGAGGCGCATATCGCAAATTATGTCAATTTGCTGCAACAGCCCGCCCGCCCTAGGGACTCGGAGACAGCGACAGGAACATTGCCAGAACACTCAAAGAAAAGCATGCGTTTAATTATTATCTTTTAAAAAAACTTGCACCTAGAACAAAGCAGAAGGTGCCAACAACCGTGTAAGCCTATGAAACCAAGGAGTGGATCATAATTGTTTTTATGTAAAAAAGGTTTTCATTTTTCATTTGTAAATATGTGGTTTTGTAGCTTAAAGTGCTAGAAAGTGACATTAAAAATAAATAACAATTTAAGTGAGTTTGTAGATAAAGATATCTTACCGTTTATCATATGTACAAAATGGGGTTGTATAGACAAAGGAATGGAATATAATATTTACTAAGTTACAGTAAACTTAAGTTATTTGAAAGAATTTCGAGTATTGACTCGCAGTTTCTCCGAGTGCAGGAGCTTCAGCCAACTGATATAGAGGGTCTAAGTCTGTCTGCTCGTCGAGCATTTGACATCTTACATGGGAATTACAAACGCACGAAAATTGCTGCCATGTTCGGCGACAGCCCACTCACCAATACAGCTGTAGTTGCGCCCCAACACATATACACGATGTATATCAGTCTGTCTGTCCTTCTGTCTGTCTGTCTGTCGGTTTGTCCGTTTGTCAGCTTTCCAGCGGGGGCGAGTGTTTTTCGGTGGGTGGGCGGCTCTGGGTCGCCGTTTTCATGTGCAAATTTCTGTAGTGCGCCATAAATTATCCGACTGGGAATTGCTTTTCTATAAAACGTGCGCATATTAAATAAATGTCAACAATTTTTGGCATCGTCTGCAAGCTGAGCACTTTTCCCCCGGCTCCCCTCGCATTTTTATTCCTTTCACTCGTTTGGCGGCTGCCGAAATGAAATTACGCGTAACACGATTGTGAGGCTCCCTTTTGGGTATTAATGAGCACCAGGCTGCAAAATAGGTTCATGATGGATGTGTTCGGTTTCTGGGTTCCCGGGTTCCCGGGTTCCTGGGTTTTGACAGCTGGACAGGTGAGCAATTGAATTTTCAATATTTCGCAACGAAATTCAAATCGATTCGAACGAGTTTGTCGAACGTCAACTCTTATCCCTCGATTTGCGTGGGGAATTCGATTGACGTTCAAATTCTAAGGACATGTGTACAATTTTATTGGGCACAAACGAGCGAATTAAGTGCTCAGATTTTACAGAATTATTGCTGCCCAGGGCGCTTTTAAATGCCAATAGTTTTGCTTCAAATGACCCCTTATAACTTTATCCATTCTTAATACACTTATTCACTTATCGACAACTCTTTGATGGCCATTAATGTTTTATTCATCCGGCTGATTGATGGGCATGCATTCACAGTTCATGTTTCCTTATTAATTTGCGTCTGGTGACGACAAAACCAACTAAACATCCAAGTTCCGCCCACAGCGACCGCTTTGATCCTTCTCACGCCAAAGGACAATTAGAGGCTTTAACTCGGCGGCCGAGGCGACGGGGAAAACAGCCGGCCAACTTTAATCCATTGTCGTTTCCTAGATTGGTTGGGAATGGAAAGGAGGAGGATATCGACGGACAAGATTGGATTGGGAATGAGTTTAGGCCATCCGGAAGCGAGGACCAGGCCCTCAGCATTTATCTGTTTTCAGCGACATCAATTGGCAGTTTAAATGCAAAAGATGAGGCCGCCGTGAAATCGCAGACCGGCCATCTCATCGTCATCACCATTGTCGACGTCATCGTTGTCGACGGCTTCAATTTGGCATTAATATTCCCACTCACGTACTTGGCTGTGATTATGCGAGTACAACGATGAACGTCAGCGGCTATTGCGGTTGAAAGGATCTGGGTGGTTGAAGGGAGCTTGCTGGTGGGTGGTTGGGTGGCTCCGGAGTGGCAGTGGAGTTGGTGGAGCCGCCTCGAGGTTGTCGTGCGGTTGCCGCCTTGCGTGCTCCGCCTTTCTGGGACGGCAGTCTCAACGTGACACTTAAAAGGCAGCGTTTTGTTGACATTTGCTAGGAAATCGACGAAGGAGTCGAGTCCCAGTAATTGTGGCCACACCCCGAAAGCTCAGCACGGGCGCAGCGCAAAAAGGACATTTTCATATTGTGTTAATGACTTTGGCAATAGTTTTGTCATGACATTTCGAAAGGGCCTCCCCACCTGTCGTTTCATTCAATTGCATTCGCTGGAAACGGTAATGATACACGTAGGGAAAAACGTTAGACCATTACTTGCTGAAAAACTTTATTTTCAGAACATTTTCATAAAAAATTTCCTTTTATTTTAATGTTGTTTTATAAGTGTTTTGATTAACATGTAATAATATAATGAGGTGCTCAAAATCTTTGGAAATAATCTAGTGGCAACATGAAAACATTAATACTTACGATTGTTGGTTTAGCCCCAACAACCACACCCCGATGATGTATCTCTTGCTCCACAATTTCCGCCTATCTTGGGCAGACCACACGTGATTATTTTACCGCAGTGCACTCATAATTGGGTCTCCCTCTCCTCTCCTTTCAGTTTCCACAGTGGCCGTGGAGGCCGTCCTGGGACGAACCGCATCCTTGCCGTGCGACATCGAGCCGGAGGCGAAGGACGATCGGGTGTATATGGTGCTCTGGTTCCGTGAGAGTGCCGGCAAGCCACTTTACAGGTAAGAAGCCGCACCACCCACCTCCCAAACCACCGAATTTGAATTCAGGTTAGCAGGCAGGCACTTGCTAATTTTATAGTCTCTTTGAGATTTCGAGCATGTGAACGTGTGTCTGTGCGGTTGACAGAAGTTCCGCCCTTTTCGGGCCTGGCCAACTGAGGTCCTCGTGCCGGCTACCTTTTGATTTATAAGCCCCTCCAGTGGCAACTCCTTTCCACTTCCACTTCCACTTGCACATCCACATCCACTCACTCGACCCGACAGCTTCATGAGAAATGGCAGCAGTTCATAATTTTCAAATAATTTATTATTTTAATAACATCATCAATATCAACTCAACTGGAGTAGGTTCTAGATGGGACTACACAGAGGGAAATATCGAAAATATTAGTAAAATACAAAATACATTACCCAAATGTCGCTTGGCCTCAAAATTGTTTGATATCATTGCCTAAATATAAGATTAACTTTAGTTGTTGTTACTTTCATTAATTTCTTTCAAATATATTGAGATGTAACTTCAAATTAGCTTACTTAAAGCAGATGGGGTGTTAAAAATTCTACAGGTTTTGCACACATCTGAAGTCAACCAATGAGTAATCCATGTTCCGCGATCTTTAAACTTACGTAATTGTAGGTTCTGGTTTTAAAATATTCAATCTTTTTTTAAAGTGCACCAGCCACATAGCCTAGTCCTGGAACTTAAGGCCAGGACACGCCGCAGGAGTGGGTCAAAGCAAAGCGAAGCAAAACAAAGCGACGGCATGCCAGGCAGGCCAACAGGGCGACATGGGCTCATATATTAGCCGCAGGGCCCGAGGCAAAGGACATCCGAGGTGAAAAGCGGGCCAGCAAAATAATGGCATCCAAAGTGAAAACTGTTTTGGCGGCAACTTTGATTGTGGGCGGGCTGGAAATGGAAAGCCCCATCCCCATCCTCATTCTCATCCGCATCCGCATCCGCATCCCACCGTCGATGTCCTGAAGCTCCTGCTGCTGTTATTTATAGAGCTCGCTGGCGAACGTGTGCTTAGGTTTAATATGTTGCACATTATAAGCAGACATCGATATCCTTTAGCCTTGTCAATTTTGCTTACATGTGCTTCCTTTTCAATATGTTGCCAGCGGGTGGACGGGGATTTTCGGGAATAAGGACACAGACACAGACACATGCAGGGACATGGATGTGGATACTCGTACGAGAATACGATAAGTCGTATACGTATAGGGACGCACGTGTATATCAAGGGCGAGCGCGAACTGTTCACGAGTCCTACCGCCCAGGAGCATGATCCTTGTTGATGTTGTTGTTCTTGCCATTTCGTGCACTCAATTGGAAGCAATAAATTTCAGAGCAGACAAAGAGGAAAATATGAGGGGGCAAGGGAAAGAAAAGGAGGTAAGTGTTTGGAGCAACGAAAACAAACAACAACAGAGAAAGCGGAAAACTAGAAAAATGTGGAAAACAATAATGTCGCAAAAATTTCCGACTTTATAACCAAAAATATCCGAAAGTGATTCGAATTCGATTTCCCTTGCAGGACAAGTTAGTGCACACAACAAAAAAAAAACAGAAAAAAAGCGGAAGGGAAAACAGAAACAGGAATGAAATTTAAGGAAATAAATAACAAGGCGAAAACAAGAACAACAGCAACAGCTGTGCAGGCGAAAGGCAGGATTCCAGGGAAAACTCCTGGGCTGCGGCGTAAAATTGCCAGCTCTGCGTGAAATCACACTGAAGGACACACTGAGGGGTTAAAGGGGGAGGGGAGGGGAGGAGAGGGAAAACAGGGGAGCTCACGAGCAGAATGGGGCTTAGAAAAGAATCAAAACCAAAAGCTAAAACCGAAAAGGCGCCGAAATTGAAAGCAGCATGTGAAGGGCGAAAAGAGAGAGCGAGAAAGAGCGTGGTAAAAAGGACACAGAACGGGATCCCCCAAGGTTTTTCACAGTGATGATAGTACACTATAAGAAATTATTAGAGGAAAATCATAATCAAAACAATGTGTTTCAGGTTTAATATGATATAGTCAAAAAGGTTTAATTTTTATTCATTTTTAGTAAGAACTAAGCACCCACATTTATTTTGTATTACAAAGTAATTATATTCCATATATACATATGTATATTCCATATATATATTCCATATATAATATGATGTATAGAGTAGTCCACAGTTCGTATACCCATTTGAAAGGGCACCCTTCAACTTGCTAAAATCACAAATCGCAAACAGTTGAGCCCGGGGTTTTGCCTCAGTGCGGAGCATCCTTTTGTGGGGCAGGCTTTGCAACATTTCCAAAGGCACGTCACAGCTGGCAGCCTCACCTAAACAGGCTCGCACACACCTACACCTATAGCTACACCCACACGCACACACCTACAAAAAGGCTGGGCAAAGTCGTGTCTAGCGGATCCCTGCATTTGACAGCTTTACACCCGGACACAAAGGCAGCGGCTAAGGCCCAAACAAAACGATGTCCTGCCCAGGAGGCTAAAAGCAAAAATATTAAAAATTATAATGTTAACTTTTGCTTTGTTGTTTGACTGGCCAACAAGCAGACAGTTTTTTCGGGTTAGGCTATTTCGGGTTCAGGGCTCATGTTTATGGCTCGGATACTGGCCGGGATTTGTTTCTGCTGACTTTGACCCTTGAAATGCGATTTTCATAAGATTTTTATACATTTATTTGTTATGAATCGGGAGCGATAAAGGATAAAGGGGAAGAAAAGGCGTGGGCGGCTGCTTGGCCTTCCATTATTAAAATTAACATTTGCCATGACAGCCACCTGTAACGAGGAGCGAGAGCCGAGTTCTCTGGGTCGACAGGCCAACTGTCACGTTCAATATTGCAGGCCATCAATGGCATTGGCAGCCCGCCACGCCCACCATGCCCACCATGCCCACCGCCCCCTCAAAGCCTACATAATAAACAAAAGGCAAGAGGAAATGGCCACGGCAGAAGCGATACGAACGGAAAAAGAAGCAATGCACTCGACACATCCCTTGCGCCTGGAAATAAAGCCGCGCAAATAAATAAAAATTAAATTTACTGCATTCGCACTTGATGAGCAGCTCAGGTGGAAATCGAGTGTGTCAAATATAGGCATATTTAATTTAAAGTTTGTCTTGTTTCCATGTCATTACATGTGTGCCACAAACTGAAAATCAAATTAAAGAGGTTGACATAAAATAAAATTAGGCTTATGTGGAACTAGATTTTGTTCTCAAGCTATGATTCTTTTTGATTTATATATTTAGTTTTTTTTTAGCTTATATAATAATAAATACAAGTTAACATTATGACTAAATTATGTATTTTTTTAAGACAGTTTATCGTAATAACCTTTTTTATCTTACTGTTTTTAACATTCCAGTACAATAATGTGAAAATATTGGTCCTTGAAAGGCTATAAAATGAATTGAACACTTGATTTATTAAGCAGCTTTATTTTCATTCTTGGCCAAAATGTTATAGAGTATCTACAATAAGGGATTATATGCTTACCTACCAAACTGATAAAGGACTGAATGATTTATTTCCCTTTTCCCCCTGTGAAAGTAAAGTTAAATTTAGATTAGGAAAATCAGAGCACACAGACCTCTGGAAAACAAATATACCCCCACCGCCTTGGGTAAACATGGAAGCTACAGTGGACTTTAAGCCCGGGCCACAATCAAGGTTAATTGATTTTTAAAGCTCACCTGGACGCCTGGCTGCTGGGTGCCAGTTATCCGTAGGTTCCGTGGCATGAATAATTAAATTCGCAGCGAGCTCTGGGTCCGATTGGATTGGATTGGTCTGTCTCGCCCCACACCTCCCCCACCCGGCGAACTTAACTTAAGCGAACCGAGCGGAGGACTGGCTGTCAAAAGCGGATAATCTGAGTGCCACGCTAACTGCCATAATCGCCGGCAGCCGCCAGCCAATCGGCCGCAAATACAGACACAAAGGGGGGTGAGGGGGAAAATCCGGAGGGGGAAGGCCAATCGAAAGTGCATTCACTTCGAAACGGTTGAGCCGTGTGTGTACTTGGCCTGCTGCTTGAGAGCCGGTCTGCCACAAAAGTAATAAACCACAAAGTGGTATTCAAAATGGCTGGCAATAAAGGCCAACGCCATCGGAAGTGAGGAGAAGCTGAAGATGGCAGAATCACAGCCAGGATGAGGAACCGCTACACCTGAAAGAAAGTGTGAATTCTATAGAAACTAACTCAAGCTTAGAAGTAGTTTAACTACTAATGTTTTTAGTTCAATTTAAATCTAGTACTTTTTATATTGCATAAGAATAAGAAATATTTATTTTTACTACATAATGTTCATGTGAATTTGCTAACCAGACAAAAGGAATGATTACTTAAAAATATTTTTTTTTTTTTTTTTTTGAGTGTGAAGAAGCGTGGGCCAAAGGCAATTAAGTCGAGTGCATTTTCGGGCTATTTTACGAGCGCCGGGCGGCTTTGTAGCCGCACTTTGCGCGAATTTCAGGTTAGATTGTATATTTAAAACTGTAATTAAGTTTCAGATGTATATGCAATTGTGTGGGTGCACGTGTGCACGTGTGCTGGTGTGCTGGTGTGCGTGTGTGGGAGCGGAAATGCAAGCGGCGCATGCAAATCGATTTGGCCGCCACTAAGCTCTGGTTTCCACCGCCGACAGGGAAATGCCAACGTCGGGATTTTCTTTGCCGGCTTACCAGTTGGTCACAGTCGGAAATGGTGGGTCCAATCCTTCCACTGATTGCGCATTCGAAGGCGACTGGCCGATTACCAAACTTCTCTCCGACGTCGTGATTAACTTTTAATGACTTCGATTTCGGTAATTGGACGGAAGGAATTTGCCGTAATTGGAAAATGCTGGGAATTTAACTCATTGTATATTTGAACAGTCTGTTCTTGTTTTATGTTTCCGCAATTAGGAATTTATACTCATTTTAATGGACCGGAAAGTATATATCCAAATTCAATTTAATTGTTATACTCTCCCCTAAAAATAAAGTA